ATTTCTGTCACGCGGCAAATCTGTTGAATCTGAATTCAAACATAATTATATGCATAATTACGTTTGGAGGCTTACAGTTAATTAAACAGCATTGTTTGCAACAATCGTCATCCACATATGTCGCATTGCCATTTAAAATCTATCCAGAAACACTTTACATTTATTCCAACATAAAAATATCTAAAATACTAATTTAAATATTTATTCCTTATCACTGTAATTTTATTACTTTTCACATTATGACTCTTGAATAATGCATTAAAAAGATTTGTCTAAAATAATCTCTATTAAACATGTTATTGGATAAGTAAATTGGATTAAATATCGGTTCCAGAAAAATTTTTTATCTTCATAGTCGATGACATAAAACAACGTATCAAAAAAAATTCTGACCAAAAATAATCGGCTACACGAACAAGAGAGATTCAATTCCATAAAAAATGTAAACAGTGAAATGGAACAGTGATGTAACTTATATTTTTCTTATTTCAAGAAAAAAAAGTTATAAAAGTTTGTCAACTATTTTATTATGGCACTCTTTTCACATAATTTTCAAAGAAACAAAATAATAAAGAAAAAAAAAATCTAAATTTGGTACTGAAATAATTATACGCTTTATTTTCTCTAAAATATGTAATTTATATTTCTATTTTGTTTAACAGTGGATATCTTTTATTATCTTTTCTTCGATAAGAATATCCGATATAAAATGTTCGAGAAAAGAAATATCTATTTTGTTTTGTAATTTATATATTATTGTATCTTCGTTTAAAAAATTTTTAAAAGATTTATAAAGATTTTTAAAGATTTAGAAATATTTTTTAAAGATTTGTTACGTATATGCAAAAATAATTTTATATCGACAAGATTATGTTACATAAAACGTGTGTGTAATAAAACGGAATGTGTGTAATGAACGGAATTAATGAACGGAATTTTGTTAAAATTTAAGCACGAATTCTCGAAATCACTATTTCGCTTTTTCGTCGCAGCGAGCTGTATGATACAAATACACACATTTTTAAATAATAATTTTGCGAAATGTTATTATTCTCTTCCTCTCTCTTTCTTCCTTTTTCAAGAACACCTTCAATGTGAATATGCTGATATGGTGGTGTGATGGTAGGTTATGAAATTATTCACTGTAAGCGGATAAACAAACATACGCGAACATACGTGAATTATTGCATTGCTTGAATAATACATGAAACTAAAAGCAATGACGAAATGTATTTAGTCTACAGATGAAAATTCATGTTCGCGTTTTTTTAATTTTTTTAAATTACATTGTACTTTAAATTACATTTCACTATTAAAAATATGTTTTTTCTTTCACATTTATCCTTCAATTACATATATAGGTATATACGCGTGTATATCAACGTGTGTATTCGATGCGTGTAAA